GGGGAAAGAAGCTGGGAATGATTTAAAAGAGAGGTATAGTAGAGTTCAAAACATGACACACACACATTTTTATTCTATGGGAATACATATTAGTGAAGCTTTGCCTGCTATCTCTTGTTTACTTAGATGAGCATCTTTGAGATATCTGCAAGTGTATAACCCAGTCATGGTGTATGGTTGCCCCAGACCAGAGCAATAGCTTAGAACATTTTCACTACTCCAGTAGGGGTCAGGCCTCATGATCTGCCTTCTAAGAGCACAAAAAGAACAGTGACTTTAATTGTCAGTCAGCTCCTTCGCCACCCAAAATCCATTGTATAAGACAAAACTGCAGGAAGGAAGGTACGGGGGCAACATGTACAGACTTCTTAAAGAACCACAGTTCATTTAAGGTAAGTAACCGCTCTCTCTTTGAGTACATCGCAGTCACAGTGATTAACTAGCAGTCAACCTAAATGGAGGTGAGAGCAAAGAGTTAATTGAAAAAAGACAGCAAACCCTTGTTTCGAAAATGGGCAACCAATTTAGAATCTTTCACTAATAAACAACGCTTTGTAAATGTAGGTACTCAAGTTCTGGTTGCTGCTCTGCAAATCTACAGTATTGACAATCAACTTTAGAATGTGTTAGAATGTTTAAAGGACTTACTTTATAATATAATATACAGTCCTAATACAATCAGATGCCCATTTTGAAAGCTTCTGAGATGAATTAGCTCTCCCTTTAGATTTATTTTCATAAACAATAAAAAGTTGAAGTCATACAATAATTTTTTTGTTTTATCTAGATAGCAGAACCATAACTGTTTAACATTCAAGATACACATGCAATTTAACTTCAGCTGAGATGAATGAGGTCTTGGAAACAAGACTGGTAAATTAATAAACTGACATGAAAGTCCAATACTACTTTTGGAATGAAGGACAGATGATGTCTCAGTCACCCTGTCTGTATGAAGAGCTGTGTAAGGAGAGTTTATAATTAATGTTTGAAGTTCACTTAATCTACTTGCTGAGCCACCAAAAATGCCACTTTTATTCCAAAATTGCTGAATTGGGCAGCCTCCTAGCGATTCTAAAGGGAGTTCCATTGCAGAGGAAAGCACTAGATTTAAATCACATGTTTGAGCAATCTTTCTTACAGGAGTAATAACTCAAACTAAGTGCCTGAAAAATCTGCTGATGAATGAAAAAAACAAAAACAAAAAAACAGACCCCCTTCTACCTGTGGATGAAATGCTGAGATCACTGCCAAATCATTTTAATTGAAACAACAAATATACCCAAGTACTTAAAATGCAACAAATTATCCAAGATTATTAGAACAGAATATACCAAGAAGGAATATGATCCTTAGCTATGACTCAGAACAAAAGACAAACCACTTGCAAAATGTTGTTTCCTGCTTTGAAGTTAGTACTGCTGAAGAACAGTTTCTTATCTAATGAGGACATCTGGAAATTACCCAGACAATGAGATATAGTGATATAATTTGAGTGTAGGAGTAAGCTGTGGTTCTGTGATGATATACCGTACTGAATTAGCAATGCGGTAAACTGTTCACTGGACATTATTAGGAGATCAGAGAACAATTGAATCAATCTTTTCTTTTTGTATCTTAATCTTCTTTTGGATTGGTCAGAAAATCTCTGCTGGTAAATGTATGAGGAAGTTTAGTAGTCCAATGTCTTGAAAAGAACATGGACATACTGTTTCTTCCTAAATGCAGGTGGATAAGAAAACTAAAAATGTAAGAGCGGATCATAAGTCTTTTAATGAACTCAAGGTCTCATTGATTTTGTACTAAACAAGCTCCATCAAAATGGCAAATCTTCAATGCTTGTCAGTACTTCCCTACCTAAATCTGATGAAGAAAACCATGATGCACATCTCGTAACATCTCCAGTGTTTTCCATATGCATTTCAATACTTCCTAAAACATTATAAAACTATCAATTATCAGAGGCACGGTGGATGAAAAAGTCTTCTCAGGTGAAGAAGAATAAGAATGTGGACAACCAAATTAATCTTGGTGAACTGCTAACTCTTCATCGCTAGAATGATGACGTTCCTTTGTTTCCAAAATCTAAACAGGAAATGATGTGACATCTGAAAAATTAAATTAGGCGACTTCTACATATACTCCATATACTGTGTGGAGGATTCTTCCTGAGTGCTGCAGATATTTCAACCATATCGCAATATGGCCAAGTTTGTGGACCATGTAGTTACAACACAGCCATCCAATTTTGCGATTCTAAGGAAAGCAATTAGAATTTAAACTTTAACCTTCAAAAAGGTTCCTTTGTATTTTTTCTGATTTTTTTTCTTTTTGTTGGCTTGTTAGGTTGGGGGGACGGGACTCCCACTGGAATAAAACGAAAATCCTTCTATTGATAGCACAACCGGGGATTTTAAAATTTGAGTAGGACTTCCAGCTGCAATCCCATTGTTATGTTGATGAAGAGGAATCTTCATCACAGGTATCCTTGATCTTTCACGGAAAGGAGATTTAGACAGTGCAGAACTACAAGATTTTAACAATGGTAAACCACACTCTGGAATTATTCTGATATCCAAGGGAGAAATAAATCTCTTGGTGCTGTGGATCCCCTTCAAAGGGCATCTAAATTGAGGCATCCTGTCTCATTTAGCTGCGTTGAAGGCTCTGAAATGCTGAAACTGCTCATGCTGAGTGAGAGAGAGTTGGATGAGGTAATACCTTTTATGGATCATTTTCTGTTGGTGAGAAGGCTCTTGAGCCACACAGAGCTTTTCTTATCTCTCTCACAAGAGAAGTTGGTCCAATATTGCCTCGCCTACCTTCTCTCTCTAGTACCCTGGGAGCAACAGGACTACAACTACACTACAGCATGCCAAACAAGATACCAAGTGAGATGCTCTCATCAAAACCAGTGCTGCTAAAGACAATGCCAGCGTAGATTGTAATTGATGCACTGGTGCTAAGAGGGATGGTTCCAATAAGTTCTAAACCATAGTCTTAAAACTTTCATCTGGGTAGATTGGCAGAGGCCCTGTAGGTTTTTCGCCTTCTTCTGTAGCATGGGGTACAGATCACAGCTGGAGGATTCTCTGCATCTTGGGGTCTTCAAATTATTTGAAGGCTTCAATATCTGAGATATAGGTGAGAGGATTATTCTAGGAGGGGTGGGTGAGATTCTGTGGCCTGCATTGTGCAGGGGGTCAGACTAGATGATCATAATGGTCCCTTCTGACCTTAAAGTCTATGAGTCTAACTCTATGTGCTCTCTTCTGTGAGTACCCAACATGACACTGAGGACTTGGGCACTGGTCTCCTCCGTACTGACTATATTGATTCCTTGGAAGGTGACTTTCTCCTGCCAGGCACCACAGACAAGAGTCATGAATAACAGATTTAGAGTCTCTCACTTCTTGGACAACAGGGATTTCTGACTGCTCCAAAATCATTTGCAAAGCCTCTCTAGGTCTCTCTGTTGCTCTTGAGCTCTGGTGACTAGGTCATGGATAGACTGCGTTGGCAGACAGGAACTTCCTCAGCTTTGTCTTTGCTCAGGATCTGGGTGTGCACTTATGTATCTCTCCATGAGAAAGGTACTGGACTGTCACTCTTTCTGCATGAGCATCTTAGAAGGTTTACAGATCACATGCTTAGCAACAACATGCTCTTTACCCAGGCAATAAAGACACTTAGCATGAGTGTCCATTAGGAGAATGGTACAGGCTGAACTGCTCTTAACTGGGACTTTCTGGTCCAGCAACATCCCTGGTCCGGAAAGACCATGGATTTCCAGGACCAGAGTGTCCCATGGAGAGCTGGTGGCTGGAGCGGGTCTGGAGCCCAGTAGAGAAACTGACTAACAAGACTGAGACACTGGGTTTGTCCAGTGGTGGGGTCAGGAGCCCGGCAGCGGGGCCACCTGGCAACACAACCAGGAGCGCAGTGACACTAGAAGGCTGCTCCCTGAGGCCAGGAGTCAGACTGCGGGCTGCCTAGCAGTGGGGCCAGGAAACTGGGAGTGGGTCTGCTCAGCAGTGCAGCATAAAGCCCGACAGCCCCACCGCTACTCAGAGTAGCTACCTAGTGAGAGTGGGAGGCAGCAGAGCTGCTCAGTGAGGCTTCCACCCGGCGATGCAACTGGACCCCAACAAGGGGGCTGCCCTGAGGGGCGGGAGCCTGGCAATGGGGCTGTGCATGCAGCAGTGAGGCTGCTACTTTGGTGCCAGAAACCTGCACACAGAGAGGCCGGCAGTAGGGGGAAAGTGGCTCAGAGGCTGGCAACAAGGCCATGGCAGCGGGAAGGGGCAAAAATGACCTTCCCTGGTCCAGCAAAATCCCTCATTTGTGGCCGGTCAGGTACCGAGGGTGCTGAACCTGGGAGGTACAACCCGTACTCTCTTCGCCCCTTAGAGGGGCATCATCGAAAGCCTGGGGAAACCTCATTTCTACCATATCTCAACTAAAATCCTACTATACTAATTAAAAACAAATATAATTAAAATGTAACTTTTTTCCCTTTAAAAAAATAAGTAGTAATATTAAAGATAAATCCACACTATGAACCGGGAGTGCGATTTCCCTGGCTTGATTTCACATATCTTAAAAAGAGCTCGCTCAAGTAACACAAAGAGAAAGAGATGCTGCTGCAGCATGAGTCGCAACAGTGGAGACATGGCTTAGCTGTGTTAAATATGCGACCACCTGTTCCAGGTGAGTTAATACTTGGAACCACTAAATCAAGTCTCTGCTGCCACTACTTGTGCTGTAGCAGTTATACTGTAGGTGTACGTAAGTATGGGAATCACACACTTACCTTGTAGTATAGAGGCAGCCTAATACTACTGAACACTGAAGCTACAATAAATAAAAAGTACGTATCCTAATTAACTAACTAAATAGAATGGGGATACTATTCTTTTTTTGGCTGTTCTGCCTTGGTCCATTCTAGGGAACTAAGCAATCACCTGCTCTTTGTGCTTTTAGT